CACAGTCAGGTGGTAGGTCTGGTGGAAATTCCCCTCTTTTGCTGCTACTTCACAGGTGTAATTTCCCTCATGAGCTACTCCCACTTGCCGTATCTCAAGGGCAGGATCGTGATCTGGTCTGAATTTCCAGTTCAGGCTGTCACTGCAGTTTGTTCTGTCTGTCTTGTTCTGATCAGCCCTGTAGCCCAGGGCGCAGGGACCTCCAACCTTGGGGCTTATTTTCCATGTTACCAAATTCATATTTGGTCTGTGAGGGCAGGTGAGCACAGCGCTGTCACCAACTGTTGCTGACACACTGTTGTTCCCTGCAGGAGAGAAAAAAGGAGAAGGACATGTGGGAACGTGCCCAGGGCTGTCATTCATCACATTGGAGTTCTGGTCTGTGCTTCAGAGAGAGAGATGTCTGCACTGTCACACACCAGGGTAAGGCCCCATCTGTGCTCGTCTCCAAATGGTCTGTCGTCCATGGATTATGGAGCCAGTGGCCTCTCTCACATTTGTTTTGAGTATTGCCTCCTCAGTACTCACAACAAATTTCCCCGTGGGGCTCATCTTAGTAGATAAGGCAGATACTGCAGGAAAAGCCTTTTCCTGCCCCACTATCTTTAGCAGTTCAGCATCTGAACAGTGGACTGCTCAGAGGGCTGTTACCCCTTACAGGCCAAAATGAAATTTGACTGTCAGATGTGGCCACATGCTAATGCTTTTTTTCTGGAACAGGTGATACCAATGATATAAACGACTTCTACTTCTTCATTCATACAAAATCCAACACTGGGAGTGCCAAACGCCAGGTTTACACCTCTCAGACATGCAAGTAACAATGGTTGAGCTTTGTGTAGGAGGAAAGGTTTTTGGCTTAAGTATCATGGGTGTCTTTTCGTTTTCTGATTCTTTGTGAACATACACATTCAGACTATGAGTGTACCAAACGTGTTCTTATGCATTAACAGTGTTGTTGTAATTTTATTTTTTACTGCAGTGATCCCCATAGGACATGAATGTAAGTCCAAGCTGTTTTTGTGGAGACACAGAGCTACAAAGGTGTGAAATATGCTCAGATCCCTGTGCCTCCTGCTTGCAAGGCTAAGATTGCACAGAAAGTTTATTCAGTTGATGTATCAACTGTGCTGACTTTCTCCTACTGCATATATCTTTTTCTTGAATTCTGTTTTGCATTTGCATAGCAAAATATTCTATTGTATTATACTGCATCCAGTTTTGGTGCCCTCACCATAAAAGGAACGTGGATCTGTTGGAGCATGTTCAGAGAAGGGCCACAAGGATGATCCAGCGGCTGGAGCACCTCTGCTATGAGGACAGGCTGCGGGAGCTGGGATTGTTCAGTCTTGAAAAGAGAAGACTTCGGGGGGACCTAATAGCTGCCTTCCAATACCTGAAGGGAACCTACAGGAAGCTGGGGAGGGACTTTTTACAAGAGTGTCCACTGATAGGACAAGGGGAAATGGGTTTAAGTTGAAGGAGAATAGATTTAGATTGGACTTTAGGAAGAAATTCTTCAGTACGAGAGTACGAGACTTTGGAATAAATTGCCCAGAGATGTTGTGGCTGCCCCCTCCCTGGAGGTGTTCAAGGCCAGGTTGGACGGAGCCTTGAGTATCATGGTCTAGTTGAGAGGCGTCCCTGCCCATGACAGGGAGGTTGGACTAGATGATCTCTAAGGTCCCTTCCAGCCTAGGTCATTCTGTGATTCCATGATTATATTTACTTTCTGTGACAGTGATTCTTGGCTTTAAAATATGATTCTTGCTTGGAGTCAAGCATGATACCTCTCCTCTTTATCTTTTCATGATCCACAAACTATGTGCTTGAAGCTAGATGTCTGTACAGAAACATTGGTCCCTAATCCTCTTGTCCTTTTTGGAAGTTATCACATGGGCCATTGAAGGGTGGAGGCCCAAGACCACTAATTTGCGCAGGTTTTTCTTTTCCCACAAGCTGTCAGGGCTGGTTCTTTTTTGCACATATTAGACATGAGTCATGCTTGTTCTCTTTATATTGACCAGATCTGGGACCCCTCATCTGCCCGTGTCTTCAGCTGACACATCCAAGGGGTCAAGTTTCTAACCCCAAGATTCTCTTCACTAATTCCTTGACCACTGAAGTCTCTCGGCATGATGCCACCTTTGGGACAGGCAATTCTTTTGCTTTGTTTCAACCAGTCACACTGGGACCTTTTCCTTAATAAAGTAGCCTGTCACGGGTTTTGTTTGTAGTAGAGGTACGTTCATTAATCTGAATGGAAAATGAAAATTAACTAGCCTGATTTGTTTCAACAAATGAGTTTTTCATAAACTATTCCAAGTGTGTTAAACCCCTCCCCAAACCTTTGAAGCAGATATACTAAAGTAGCAATTGAAAGTTCAGCTGGGATAAACAAAGAATTAGAAGATCTAAGTTTTGCGTGATTAATCCAACCTTTGCCAAAGTCTTCCTCAGAGGTACAAGTTCTGACTTCATTGTGTTTCTCTAGCCCCTGCCTAGAGCTGGAATTCTATTACCTCTGCTGGCCGGCACCATGTTAAGCCTGGTTCCTGACCATTCACAAAGCTACAGAAATTGTCTTAACGAGCATCACCTTCAAATTATTAGTCAAATTATTACTATTAGCCTCTTTGAGAAAACTGCCATTGCTTTTACTTAAATACCATTGTTACAAATCTCCTTATCTTCCTGACTCTCAGTGGATGAACCATTCCAGCTCAACCACTTTTCTTTCTGTGTAACTGTGTTCTTGGGGAATGATTTATAACTTGCAAAATGAACATAGTTCCCTGCATTTTAACTGCTTAAAGATTCTGTAAAGGTTTTTGCCTTTTCATTCTGAGAATTTAGCATCGTTCATGTGGAGAGATCTCCAAACATAGACCTAGCTCCTGCAGATGGATAGGAGGTGTAGCTGCAGTATTGCACCACACTATACTACACCATACAGTACCAACTGTATTAGTCACTCTAGTTGTATATTATGGAAATCAGAGAGTAATTCTGAGAAACTTTTTTTTTTTGCTAGTAGAAGAGGAAAATTAGGCAGGCATTGTATTTCACTGAAACCATCCACTTCCCATTTTTATTGAAGAAAGGAAGTAATACTTACCTTCCTGCTGCTCAGTACCACCAGGATTTATCAATTCATGTTTTCAAGCATAGTTGAAGAAGCTTTATCTATTCACACCATTTTTGTGATACACGAATTACCCACCAGCCTCACAAATGCTTATTTCCTTAATCAATTGTGAGCAGTGTTCTGTGATACGTTATTACACTAGAAGTGTTTTTAAATGACAAGTTTTTTCTGCTTATTGGCATTCCAAGAAAATTCAAGGTGGGTGTTTTAAACTGCGATGATTTTACCAGGAGAGGAAATGAAAGAAGCCTATTGTCTTGTGATGATTTCTGGGTGTGAGTTCTATCAATGTCTCTGAAAATTTGAGAGCAAAGTGTTTACTATCCCATTTTAACACTTCCAAGAGCCTAGCACTCTGAGTCATGTCATGAGTATGACTGACCTCATCTGAAAAGCAAACCTAAGCAAAAAGCCTGCGTATTGGGACCAGGTTTTCTTCAGATGATGTTTGCAAATATCGTACAGGAATGACAATGTTGTGCATATTTGTGTACGCTTTCATTTACATATTAATGCAGTACCATTTTACTTGTCTTTCAGCTTTGCATCTCTTAAGCAGCCCACGGCAATGTACAATTTCCCCAACAAAGTGTCTTGTGTGGTTCAAGACTGTAAAGAAAGGGAACAAAAGTGGTGCTTTCTGCTAAGCCTTTCTGTCATATTCTCCCCTGAATGAATCAGATACCGTTCACTTCAAATGATAAGCCACATCAGTCAGCTTGAAATTCACTGAATCATGTGTAGTTATCATTTTAGGCTTACTATAAATTTACAGAAGGATTTTGAATTCCCTTGTATCTTGTTATTAATTTAGAAGGCTTTTAGCTAGGCAAGAATTTTTCCCTAGATGGTGGATTAATTAGTAAAAAAACCTTCTTCTTTATCCTGTCCTTATACACACCTTCCTACTGTTGTGAAGGGGCCTTACAAACATAACAAAATTAAACTGCTTTGACTTTACTGCTCTCTTTCATTGCTAAAGTACAAGTAAGTGGTATTAGTATAAATATGAATTATGTATTTTCTTGCTTGTTTTGCATCTTTTCTCTTGCCTGCTGCTGGAAACACATGATCTTTAGACCTCTTTTGGAGAAGAAGAATGTGTATGCCAAAAATCCTGAAAGGATTGGTTAATTTGTATTTCTGAAATTACTTTGAAGACCTCCTCTTAAGGTGCAACAAGGAATATGTTTTTATCTCTGCAGAGCAGACATATATTGTTAGGAGGAGTTTTATCCTAAATATAATGACTTCTCCCAAGAACTGTCTAAAACTCTGTCTGTCTTTCTGTTGAAAGTAGAGAAGTAAAAAACAGTAAGGGAGCAAGGTGTTACAGCAGAGCCTGCACCTTGTTTGATCCTCTTCCAGTTCAGTGTGGCATCGAAGCATGTGGTGATGGCAGAGTTCTGTGGATACCTACTAAACTGAGTCCCCAAACCAGCATAGCTAGGCTGATGGTTCTGCTGGGCATTTGCTCATTAGCTTTGCTTATCAGCCATGTGGATAGTTATAGTGCTTCTATTTCTACAGACACTCACTCACATTGTCACGTGATGCAGAAAACGTTCAGCGTGCTTGCTGTTTGTCCAAGGGAGCATACGCAAAACCAAATATCTGCTTCATTTTGCCAGAGAGCATAGTACCAAGTTCAGATAATTTAAGGTTTTGAACTATGTGAGCTAAAATCTTGTCACAAACAAGCAAAATAGGACTGGATCTGGGTAATACTTGATGAGAGACTTCTAAACCATGAAGAATAGCGTCAGCCCTTTTCATAGTAGTTTCTGATGAAAAGAGGATTTGCCTTTCTTACTATTTCAAGCTACAATATAGTCTAAAGAGATCTCAGGACTCTCAGGTTTTTACCACAGAGTTACCTTTATTTAAAAGCAGTGCAAAATGCATATTCTTGGGAATTAATCTGTGAATAGCTATGGGATCCACTAGCACAAAGGCAGTTCTTCAAATAGAAAATAATTCCTAGCCCTATCCTGTCCTTCTTGGTCAGCCATAGCATTTCCTTCAATTTGGAGATGTTGATAGGACCTCATTTTGGGCTGAAGTTGGACGTGCTCTGCTTTTTCTTTCCAGTGAGCATACAATCTAGTTTATAAAAGTCTATTTTATCAGAACATAATTCAATATGCTGGAAAGTGATAGCTCTTTAGGGAACACTAGCTATACTCATGAAAAATAAGGCCTGAAAATAAATCTCCCCTGCTCTCTGTGCCACTACAGAGAAAGTTCCTTCCCTGAGTCCTCTCTTCTACTCCACCAGCTTTCAGTGACTTGTCAGGCTGCACAAATTTCACATATTCTCCTCTGAGCTCCTTCTTCCATGACTTCCATGAGTTCTTGTGGGTCTGCCCCAAGAGAGACCTTTGCCAGTGCCTCTCCATCTGCT